TTTTGCAAAATACCTGGTCATTTTACTGTGAAGTTCTAAAATTCGTATATTGTATTTAATTGTATAATTGACAGCCCTAGAAATGGTGGCATGTACTTGTGATTTCTTTGGATTCCTTAAGTCTTACTGTAAAGACAAACATTTGAATTAATTATGTTTATTTTGAATAAATATCCCTCTCTGGGGCAGTGATCTCGCTCCCAAAGCATTGCCAAGCAGATCTCAAGTTCTGAAGAGAACTTTGACAACCTTTAAATTTGTTAGCCATTGTAAGTTCCTGTAACAATGTCACATAAAAAGGAGTTTGATGATGGCTTGTGTCTCCCATGGAATGCAAGAAAGGGCACCAGCAGATGGCCTGAAAACATCTGTGCTTTAGATTCTTGTCTCCTTACACTTTATCCATGATTCCATCTATAACTTTCCTTAAAGGATTGCCTGCAGCCATGCATACTTTACAATAAGCAGACTAATTGTGGGAACATATACTTTGTGGTGATTTTCTTTTTAATACTATTAACATAAAGATTGGTTACTTAGATGCAATAAGTGATATTTTTCATGCCTTTTAAAAGAGAAAAATTAAAAATGTGAATTATTTTTTAAAAATATGATCCAAGAGAATTATAAAACCTTACTGAATGGAGTTTCCACTTCCTTTCACTTCCTGCTCTCAAAGGAGTATCAAATTCTGTTTACTAAAAACTGAAGTGTAAGTAACTTCACTATTCATTCCGTGAAAACCTCTCTCCTGTGTTATGTGAAGTCAGGTGTTCTCAAAAGGACAGTTGTGAATACACTTCCCCTATGGATCAAGACTGAACACACCCCTCTGTTCTTCAACTGTTTTCTGCTCTGTAAAACTAGTGCCTGATTTTGTATCGTTTCTCTCTCTGTGATTTGCTGGGCTGCTGACAGAAGCAGGCACAGGTTCACATGGGAAGTCCTCTCGAGCCTGCGAAACTGGAGGAGCACAGTGGATTGCAGCTGCCAATTAGTACTGAATGTATGGGAAATAAGCTTGAACTTTTTGTATATATGATACAGAATGCAACACAGCAGAGGAATGTGCAAGGGTTGGGTTCATTTTCATCCTGATTACATTTCTGAAGTAAATACCAGCATCATACAAGTTGTATTTTCCCTTTTCCCTAGTTTTTATTTTATGAGGTTAAAAACAATTCTTAGCACTTCATAAATCATCTTGATGTAGTAATTGTGCCTTCACAATTGTGAGGTTTTTCACTATGTCACATATTTTAGTCACACTAATGATTCATACAAGTTTGTAAACTGAACTGGCTGCATTCGTTAGGGCAGTGTGAGTGAGAATAATGAAGTTTAAAGCTTCTTTCAGTCTTGACTTAGCCATAAGACAGCAACTTCAGAAAGTTTTCCTACTCTGAATTGGATCTCCTTATTCTCTTAAGTATGGGGCATTAATTTGTTGGTTTTTTTTCATTAGTGCAAGAGATTAAAATATTAAAAAATGCAACATACATCCAGAAAGGTATGGGTGGAATAGCAGCAGGAAGCTGGTACTTTAGCTCAGTCATTATGAAACTTTAATAAGCAATTTTGATAATAGAATGGAAGTGATTCTGGAGTGCCAGAAGGACACATTGTAATACAATTCTGGTAATGGGAAGAGTGATAATGTCTGCAAGCAGGCAGAAATGTTTCCATTTTTATGTAATAATGTTTCATGGAAGAACTTCAGCCATTTCTGGATCAGGTAGACTTTGAGGCATTTTCTAAGGAAGCAGAAGGGAGAAGATGCATAAAGAGTGAGAAAATAAACTTCATTCAGCACAAGGATGAGGAATAGAGAACTGTGAGTGACATTTCAGTGAAGAAGTGCCTAAAGATAACTTCTTTCTTAATAGAAAGTTTGAAATTGAAAAAAATTTCAATTTGCATGTTATAATCCTCTCTCCATTGGGCCCTAGACTTTGAATAAACACTTTTAATTTTTTGTTTCTATATTTCACACGGGCAATCTCTTCTGCGAGACAAAGTGAAAACCAGGCTTGGGAATAGGCTTGAGCATCACAGGCTCTGTGGCTTCTTATTTTCCATCCCTCTCGCTGGCTGCTAAATGCCTGTTATTTAGTTATGGAGCATCTGCACTGTGCTGAGGAGAGATAGACTCAGGATATGTCATGATGAATTAACACGATGCCTGTCAGCTTACCAAAAAGAAAGCAGGTATGACATTTGCCTTTTGGCTTAATTCATGAGTAAAATATTAAGAAGTGATATATGGTAGGGCTCTAACCAAGCAGCAGGAGTGCCTGATGGAGGACAGTTGGAAACCTAAATACCCAGGTTTCTGAAGGTCCCTGTCTCAAGAATGAAGCAGTAAATCTGAATCTCCATGATATCCCACAACAAGAGGTCTGTGCTATAATCTGCATGAGGGTAAACTGCTCAGAGGAATGTTAGTATTAGAGTAACAGAGAGTTGAATGCAGAAATAACCAGTACCTGGAGGGGAAATCACATAAAGCATCAGGAATACAATGCTGCTGGTGTCAACACTGAAAAATAAGGAGTGAAGTGATTTAAGAGGATGGCAAGTAGCTGGTAGGGACATGTGGCATGGGAGTGCAAGGCTCTCTGGTCAAGGCTGTCTAAGTATCATGTCCGTTCAAGGAATGGTGAATAGTTTCAGAAGAGGGATTTATCCTCCAGGGCTCTGTGCTGTGTCAGAAGTGTCATTAGTATTGGAATAAATTGTTCTGAAAAGGGCAATTTAGAAAAGAATATTTTTTTCTTAAACCTGTCAACAAATCCCATATGGTTTTGAAGTGCAACATGTGGTATTCCACCACGTACTGCACTTCATATGTTGCTGACTTGCTTTCAGTAGGGATGTTTGCCTGGGTCTGTATAGGTGCATATGAGCACAGGAGTGGAAAGAACAGCCTGAGTCAGACAATTCAGATTAAACTGGTATGATGTGGCATCATGATTTTCATAAATATGTTTAAGCCTCATCTTAAAAGTAGTTTAGTGTTTGGCTCCTCTTCTTCTAGCTGGAAAGAATGTTGCAGAATCATCTCACCATTGTAAAAATGAGGAACCATCTTCTAATATCTTGCTAATGTTTAATTTTGGCCAGTTTATTTTTTCCTCTCACAGGACAATACTATTTTTTATCTTGCATAGCTTTTCCTCTCTTTTAGGTTAAATCCCTGTATCTATTTCTCTTTTTTTCCAGTCCTTAGATACAGGCTCTCCATTCCACAAAGATCGTCATAACTATTTTCCTCATTAGTTGCAGTTTGATATCATCTTTCTTGAACTGGAGAACTCAGTCCTGAAGTTCAGAGTATTTAGAGTGAAATCTCTCCTGTGTATTGCACAGTAGCATTAATATCTTTCTTGTTCTGCTGGAAAATCTGTTCTGATATAATCTATGGCTTTTGGAAGACTGCAGTAGAAAAGCAATTTGGCAATGTCCTGATTATACCTGCTTTCAGGTATTGCTGTGCTCAGTGTCTGGCACATGGCACATACTTGACAGTGAGTCTGCTGTGTCCCACTCAGAAGTGCAGCAGGACTGTACAACTGCCCACCATCTGTCTGCTGTCTGCAGAGAGCTGCCTGTAGCATCTCTGTGATTGCCACCAAGGGCCACATCTCCTGTACCATGCTGGGCACACGATCACCCACCACAGAACCACAGCTTGTTATTCATCTGCAAATGCATGAGTGTGTTTTCTGAAAGCGAACTTCTCTACCTCACTCTTCAAGCTCACCTCATTCTTTCTGTATTCAAAACCTCCTCACTTTAATATTGACTTCCAGCTTTGTATCATTAGCAGAGTTCATCAGATAACTCCAGATTTAAAAAAAAATAAATTAACAGATTAGTGCTCCCTCTGTTCTGGTGTTTCCTTTTCAAAGCTCCTAGTCGTCACCTCCTCTTTAGCATAATCCACCTTTGCCTTTCAGTGCCTTTAGTCATCCCATCTTCTCCAATGACATCAAGAATTGCCTGTGTGGCAGGGAACAGAAGGCTTTACTCAGGTTCAGAGAGGTGATGTTGATGTCATTTCCCTTTGGAAGGCAGTTTGTCTAAATGAAGGTGCCAGTTGAATGTGGCATATGTATATGTACCTTTTTTAAAAACAAGCTGCATTTCTCCCCATTTATTTCTATCTGGTTTTCTTCAAATTTTGTTTTTAAGATCTGCATACTATCGAGATAAAAACTGTGCTTCTGGTTTACCCAGAACACATTCTTCTTCCCTTCAGCCCTTTTTCACTTCAAGTCCAAATGCACACTTTCGGTCACCCCAGCTTGATTGAAAGTTAAACCTAGATTTAAAAAACTAAAAACTTCTGTGATTTCACACTGCTATTTCTTTAGGACTCCAAGGATGGTTACATTTCCCTTTAGGCTGAAGATTTTTATACCTCCAACACTTGTTATGCAAAATTAAAAGTTCTGTCACTTTGGGGGTTGGGTTTTTTCCCTCTGGAAGTTGTGATGTAGTTCATCTTCAAGCCTTAGACTTCCAGCGGGACTTAATTGATGGCAGTCATGCAGACTGGGTTGTGCAGAGTGTCATAGTAGACTTTAAGCTAATTCCTCTGTGCATCTGTCCATAGAGCCAAGCAGTCCAGGCTGGCAGCTCCGCACCCACAGCCCCTCCGAGCCCAGCTCTGGGGCCAGCGCCTCTGTCCACGCACGGGGTCTCACTGATCATGAGCTGCCTCGGTGGTGTATTTGACAAATGCAGCCAGACATACACAGTTACTGAAGTCATTACTTACGGATGTTCACTATAAACGTGTCCTCTTGTGTGCACTTTACACCAGCTCAATCCAAATTAATGAGTCATGTTTGGCTCTGAACATCCTGTGTCTTTCCTGAACAACCTTCATGTTTTACAGTAGATACATTAGTCACTTTGTACACTATGATCATAGTACTGAGCTGAGAACAAGTTTAATAATTCAGTCTACTAAATATCTTACAAACCATCAAGAAAACTTTATACAAGTTATATACAAGTTGAAGATAAAATATTACTCCTAACTATTAGTCTGTGCTATAAAATACAAGATTTCAAATATTTATGTTCTTTAGTATCTGTACAAGCTGTCTACAAACTATGGTATGAAATAAGAAAATCTGTGTTATTTTAGCCTCCATATATGTACATAAATACATATATATATATACAGAGACACATAAAGACTAATAAGCCCATTCCAAAACTTGGAACATAACCACATGTAGTAAATCCTTCTTAAAGTATTTAAAAGTATCCTTCTTTTCTTCGTGCTCATCATAGCATCTGCATTCGTCTTCTGTGACATTGTTACACTGGAGGATGTTATATTTAGAAAATTAAATCTAAAATTTTGTTTCTATTGGAATCTGTAGGAAATAAAAGGAAATAAATTTCATCTTTTGAAAGGAATAGCCAGGGTAAGTTTCCTCTGGGGAATGATGTATAAGAATCTGCTTCTCTAAAGCATTTGGGTGAGAAGACTGTGGTCTGACATTTTCTCCTTATGGGGTTGCTCTGTGCTGGATACTGCCCTTCTCTTTAACTCTGTGATGAAAGGCTGCATGGATCCCTTTCTTATCCCTGTCTCCAGACTCCCCTTCTGCCTGAGAAATTTCGATAAACTGGACTAATGTTGACTTCTGTGCCACAAGAGCATTCCACCAGTGAGCTCCTCACAGGGGAGCTGTGGGGGCCAGGAAACCAGGTGGGACAGTCTGGGGAGACAGCCTTTGCCTGCTTTCCCTCTGCAGCCTCTCCATGCACACAGGATGGCTTGTGAGCCGAGCCCTGGGCCTCCTACTCCTGGAAGGCTTTGCCTTAAGTCAAATCCCATCAATAAGCTGTCTGGATGCTTTCTGCCCTGGGCTGACACAAGAGCTCAGGGATGAAGATGCTTTTGTTATCTGACCTAGCAGATTCCCATGAGCAGCTTTTTGGGCCGTGTTTTCTATGTCTAGAGTGCCATAGACAGAGCCTTACTGTGCACTCCCGGCTGCGCAGTCCATTCCTGGGGATGATGACATAGTCATTGCTTCTACTGTTCTCCTGTAAAGAACACGGGAAGTTGTGGGTTAGGAAATGGATTGCTTCTTATTTTCTGATTTTGCTTTTTCACATTAAAGAAGGTTTTGCTTTCTAAATCTCAAGAAGTTGACCTAATGCCTGGGAAGTTGACCTAGAAGGAAGGAAGCTCTCACTCGTCGGTCCTTTACGACCCTTGCCAGGTCTCTGGGTCAGCGCAGAGGGGCTGGGCCAGTTCAGCTAAGTGGAATTAGACAGTTTCAGGTGAGCAGCATTCTGGGTCTGGTACAGTTAAACAGATTTAATGTATGCGGGATCCTTTCTTGCCCTTGATTTAAGAACACTCCCAGGAAGGCCATCACCAAATTTGGCTGTACTAATTTATCTACACTACTTTAGCACTCCTTGTGAAGGTAGACAGGGCTGGAAAGCCTACATGACTACATGCAGCATAAATTCTGCCTTGCAGGAGCCACTGCAGTGAAAGGAGCAGTCTCTGCTGGATGAGTGGTGATAGAGGACTGCTGACGAATGGGCTGGGATCTCACCCACACTGTGCTCTTCCCAAAGAGGTGACTTCAGGTGACGTCTATGGCCAAGCCAGTCACCAGTAGGAATTATTCACTCCTTTCACTAGTGGTTTGCCAGGCACCTGACCAGCTGAGTTTTAGTCATTAACTTTTCAAATAGAGACACAGTGTAGCACACACTGCTGGGTGCCTGGCAGTACTGGAAAGGCACTAAAATAACGAAAGGTGAAGATTGTAGTGTTACCTTAGTGAGCTTTAATTTGGGGGAGCTGGCTGTGTCCTTCTTCAGCAAAATGTGTAAAACGGCATCATGAATGGTGAGGAAAAACATGGATGGCTTAATCTCCTCATCAAAAAATGCACTTCTCTCCAGTTTGTCCAGGAGGCCCTCTGTGAGGGAACAAAATCAAAGCACAGAGTGATATGCAGGCCTTAAAAAGGAAGAAATAGTGTATCCTGAGCATGCCCACTGAGTGAATATAGGAATTCCTGGTATAATGCACTGTTTTATTTATTAGAGCTGATGGTTTCATCTTTATGGATGTGGAAAGGGCAGAACACAAATGCCCATCAGTAGTGTCCTGCTCAAGGCCAAGCAGGAGGGAGTCTGAACCCCTTTTCTTATTTAATGCCCAGCCCAGGGTGCCCAATCACAGGTCTTGCAGCCCAGAGCTGCAGTGGCCGTAGGTAAAATGAGCTGTTACACATGGTCCCAGTCTTTTGGGGACAGCACGGGAGGGATGACACCTCCATTCAGCTGGGTCTGTTTGTTATCCAAGACCGGAAAGTAAAACGGTGGTGAACCTCCAGAGCCGTGCTCAGTGGCCAGCAAGGGAGGCAGTGGGATGAGGCACCTGCGGTGATGCCAACGGAAAGGCAAGTACTCACCGTGTGACTCAACAATGTAAATGTCGATGTCCAGCCGGACAAATTCTTTCAAAGTCTGTTAAACCAGAAGGAGGCACCATTTAGATATTGCTGTTTTTTGCAGTATGATAACAACCCTTATGGTGATTAGCCACAGCAAATATACAAACTGCTTTAAGACATTTAAGATCTACGATGGCAAGTGGCTTTGAACTCAAACTCTGCTGCACCTAGAGGCAGGACAGTCCTTTCATATGGCTCCAGACAGCGATGGCCAATCCTTTTGAAAAGGGGCACTACTGAAAACGTTTAGCTCACAGAGAAAAAGGGGATCTTTCGTGAGTTGTATGACTTTATTGTACCTACAAGACTCATGATGAAACTTTAAAAAAAAAGACTTCAAAATCTTCTGGGGAGATTTTTATAACTGGGAATTTGAGCAGAACTACAGTTCCCACTGACACGGTGGGTATTAGTTCCTATGGAAATAGATTTACACCCCCCGTGTGTCTCTAGATAGTTAACTGTAGCTGCTACTGTTTGAAAATGTTGTGCCTTTTGCTTTGTTCAAGATCATCTGGGGAAGCAAGAGCAGGAGCAGAAATTGAACTCCAATGCTTCAACTCCCAGCTGGGTGTTTAAAGACATATTTCATATCTACATTTCTGTAAAGCTTCCTGAAATCTTACCAGGTGAAGAAAGGCTACCACAGCCAACACTTTAATTCCAAGACAATTTATATTGATTATTTAAACAATTTCCTAAACATTTTCTATGGAAAATGTACATTAAAATTCACATGCACTCAAAGGTTGCCACTGACCTTCCAGTCCATATAGGAATGCCTTTAAAAAGCAGGCTATAAACACAGAATAGAATCATAGAATCATCTCGGTTGGAAAGGACCTGAGAGATATTGCCTAGTTCCAAGCTCCCTGCCATGGGCAGGGACACTTCCCACTGGAGCTGGTTGCTCAAAGTTCTGTCCAACCTGGCCTTGAAGACTTCCAGGGATGTAGCAGTTACAGCTTCTCTGGGCAACCTGTTCCAGTGCCTCACCACCCTCACAGTAAAGAATTCTTCCTAATATCTAATCTAGACCTGCCCTCTTTCAGTTTAAAGCCATTGCCCCTTGTCCTATCACTACATGCCCTTGTAAGAAGTCCCTCTCCAAGCTTTTTTATAGGCCCACTTTAGGTATGGAAAAGCCATATACCAAGATCTCCTCATAGTCTTTTCTTCTCTAGGCTGAACAACCCCAATTCGCTCATCTTGTCCTCACGGGAGAGATGCTCCAGCCCTCTGATCCTTTTCATGGCTCTCCTCTGACCTGTTCTAACATATCTATGTCTTGCCTTGGCTTGTTGAACTTCATGAGTTTCACATGGGCCCACTCCTGAAGCCTGTCCACGTCTCTCTGGGTACCATCTCTTCCCTCGTGTATCCCTCAAGTGTAAGTGCATTCATAAGTTTCATATGATCACTGTTTGTCTTGTGAATTATGATTACCTTTTTGAGGATTGTCATGGCAGAAAAATCGAGGAAGGATACTGATGAGAAATCCAGAATGATGCTGTGGATGTTGACCTGGGGCACGGTGATGCCAGGGGGGAGGTCAGTGCCCCAGTTGATCTGAATGGGCAAGTCTGTCATGTTGGTGGGCTGGTCCAGCTCCTCTATTTTGTTGTTGTCTAATTCTTCATCTGACTCATATGTATGGTTAGCCATGGAAATCAAGCCTTTCTGTGATGACAGAGAAAAGTGTCATAATTAGTACTCTTTTTTAAGACCCAGCCAGGGTAGTAGTGCTTCTTGGGCAAGGACAAGAGCGGTGACAATGCAAAATTGATGTTCCCATGAGAAGGAGCAGGATCTACCTGCACCTTGCACTAGAAAAAGTTCTGTCTCTCCCTTGTCTGGAGAAATCTGGAAATCATTTAATCATCATCATAATCACTTAATGATGGCTTTTTATTGTTCCTTGAAGTCAATTGTCAGACATGCTTCAATTCAGTGATTTTGGAACTAGTCAACAAAAAGCCTGCAGGATTTGGGCTGGGAGAAAACCAGCTTTATCCTACCATTAATGGAGCATGATCGTCACCTCTGTGGGATCTAATCCTGCCATTTGATGCCAAACAAAGGTCTAGTGGACACATACAAGCTCTGCCCCTGGTAAATCTGTAGGTCTCTAACTGTGAGAGCAATTTAAAATCTTTAAGTGGAAACTTGGGGAGTAGCATATCTAATTAGGACAGGAGGCTATGAGGTACTTCTCTGCCATGTAAAGCCAGGGAGCTGGTTGCTTAACTCCCCTCTGCTGGGGGCAGAGTTGCATTACATACGGGTGTCACTTGCAGCTCTCCTTTCTTCAGCATCTTCCTGATCTTCCTCAGAGCTTTATTGCGTTTCCTCAGGACTCTCAGTGGGTTGAAGCCAACCTACAAAAACAGCACTTTGAATAATCAAAAATGGAAACACCTGTAGTGGTTTGAACCTTGTTTTCCCCAGAGGCTAAGAGAAGTGGTAGACCCCAAGGGGTGGAAACCCCTGGAAGTTTTGAAGTTCTGCCCAATGGGCGCTCCTGCAGAAATGTAAACATATCACAACCAGACCGGAAAAGAAGAGTGGTAGTTTTGGTTGTTGTAGAAGAGGTGGCCATGTTGTAGAGCCACGAGGTAGGGGCTCTGAGCCCCTTGGGGCCTCTGGCCCCCTCCCAGCCCCTGGCTGGGGGCTGCAGGGACCTGGAACAGCATAAAGCTGGGCTAGGTGCCTGTAGTATGCCAGGAGATGTTTTCTCCATGGGCACAGAGCAGCAGCCGACGCTGACCGGAGAAACAGTGGCAGAGAGCCAGAGATAAGAACCTGAACTGAAGAAGCAGCAGAAGCAACATGCAGCACCGCAGAGGAGACTCCTGGAAGGAGAGTCGAGGAAAGGAGAGCCAGCAGCTGAGAGCTACAGAGTTCTTGGGGGTAAGACTGATACCAGATCCCCAAAACTCGTTTGAGACCTCCTGGAAGGAGGAAGATGATGGACTCTTACTTGAAAGAGCCTTGAAGTGCGACATGCACTGTAGAAAGGAGATAGAGAGCTCCGAGAGGAATGCAGGGGGAGTTGACCTTGGCTTCCCCCCCCTCGCACTGCTGCCACGGTGGCAGCCTGAGAGACAGGGCACAGAGGCCCTGCAAGAGATACCAGACCGTCACAAAGACCCCCCTGTGTCTTCGTGATATGACGTGGTGAAACGACCTTTGTCTGGGGTTACGAAGTCCACGGAAGACCCCTCGGTTGTGAGGCGATGGGGCCGGGGGAGCTTGAATACCTCCCTCGTGAATGCTGGCAGAAATCCAGCTATCAGCTGCTGCATGCATGAGATGAGAAGAAACCTGCTGCCTCAGAAGATGCTGCTGTTCAGAGACTGGAAGGGATCTGTCCTTCTTTCCCTCCTGGACTTTTATTTGGAGGGGAGAAGGGATCTGATCCATTGTAAATACATATGTCATGGTAGAGATAGTTTGTGATCATGTGTATAATGTGATATGGTATTTATTTGTACAGTCATTGTAATATATTCCCTTTTCCCCACTTTGAGTCTGGTGTGTTTTGTCTGGAAAAACCCATCTCACATTAGGTTGAGATGTGGGAGGGGGAATGGAGCTAGGGAATTGGATGTTGGGGTTATCTCAAACCATGACACACCCCAGTGACAGCGAGGTAAGGACAAGGCATCTCATGTGTCTTTTCTTTACAGTCATGATTTGAACTTGATGTTGTCTACCCTTTGTCTTCAATTCAAACAAGGGCTCTTTCTTGGTTGGAAAGATGTCTACAGGTAGTGCTACACACCATGCAGGCCTATCTGTGCGAGCTTTAGGACACTAGCATGGACAGCATTATAGCAGTGACAGTGCTGTAGCAAAGGCCACTAACTCCAGCAGGCTGGCACAGTGCTGGCATGTCCTACTCATCTTCATTATGAGATGGACACCCAGGTGACCAAGACTAGAGAGTTCACAGGTTGTATCTGCTCTGTGCCACCCGACCGCAGCATGGGTCATTCACACATTGTTTTTCCTGAAGAAGAAAACCAAATTTGATCATGTTGGCTGCGTATGTCTCTTGAACCTCCTCGCTGGTTTTGACAAAATTAGATGGCAGGTAAATTAGGCTAGTAAGGGTTATGAGAACACTAGATCCTGCAAGTCTTCTGCCTCATCGTCTAGTGGGTAGAGGAGAAAGGTGTTAGAAGTACTAGTATTTTTAAAGAAAGAGAGTGGTGTGAGCATCTGCTCTCACAGAAAAGAACCCCCTTATGCTCTTCTGAGGTGAAAGCCAAATACATGGAGAATCCAACGTGTGTTGGATTCCCATGTTCCTCTGCCAGTTTCAGTCCCTCGCATGAAGAATGAAATGCTCATTACCAGTGCTCAGGGTAGTCAACTCCCCACTAAGGGCAGCAGTAAGGGAAGGTTATAAGTACAAGTTGTGTTCAATCTGGGGAGGTGGGCCTCGCTGGCATGGTGAGAGCTCAGGGGTCCTGGATCTCTGTGCTGATTATGGAAAGACTGACTGCCTTCACCAGTTTGTTATGGAAGACATTAAGACCTCTTCGATAGAGTGATTTCATTCAGCATTCTTCTGACTGTTGTGATTATGGTTTTTTTGGGCAATATGAAGTAAACTAGCCGTTATTTGGTGTAAATAATATAGATGACAGTAAAATAAAATTATTTCCCTTTATATTATCTGTGTTTGCACTACTTTCTTGTAAAGGACTTAAGATACGTATTGTTATGGCACAACAATATATGGCATACATGTACATATATAAGTATATATATAGTATAAACATTGCTATGATGTAAGTTCAGCATGAGTCAGGCTGTTCTCTTTCTCAGGGGTGTCTGCATACGTGTGAGATTACAGTAGTGGTAATAATATTTGAATTAACCATGAAAATTTCACCTTTGAACTGTGGACCAACTGCATATATAGTAATTACTGGGAAATTGTATTCACCTTAATGTGCCATACAACTCATATGTTCAGGATGACAGCCCCAGACACTTACAGCAGTGATGAGTTTCTCTCTGAAGAATTCAATATTAGCAAAGAAGATCGGAGAGGAGCATCTGAAAATCTTCACTCCCTCTGGCTCATAGATCTGCACAATGAAGCAGAAGTGTAAGTAACTATGTCTGTTACAGAAACACAAGTGCAGCAGATAATGAAAGAAATGACATTTCTTACATCAGTGTAATCCTTCCTGTTTCTGTAGATGTTACTTCTCCCAACATTAGCCAAAACAGTGCAGCTTGGGCTGTGAACAAAAACACACACAAAATTATTGGTATCCTATATCAAAACTTGAAGGATGGGAAGGATCAAATAAAACAATCTCAGCTGCAGTGGCAGACTGAAGCAGATCCCCACAGCCAAGAGTTTACACTTGTAAATTAGTTTTCCATATGTGGTTGCTGGACAGACTGAGGCATGGGGCTGTTGGCCTTCTCTGTACAGAGGGAGTTAATTTATAATGGGAGGCCCTGAGATATCGTCACATTCAACAAGTACTCACATCTGGGAGCGGATCACCACTGTCAGCAGCTGGAATGCCATAGCTGCTGCTAGTCCAAGGTCCAGGCCAAGAAAGATGGTAGCTAAGAAAGTCACCACCCATATGATCTGTAACGAGCAGCAGATGGCAATGGTTATGAGCATGTCAAGAACCTGGGTCATGAGCTCAGGGTGAGAGCAGCAACAGATCTCAGATCTGGTCCAGGATGTCCATCTGCTTTTGGTGAGGGCTTTTTTCTTGTAGAACAGAACCAGAGTCACCAACCAGCACTTGGGAGTGTTTCCAGGGATGACCATTTCTAGACAACAAAGGCCTAGAACGATAGGGGTGTGGCTGTTCAATAAGTGGTTCACTAAATGCTCAATAAAAATCCAGCAGAAAGGCAAGGCTACAAGTAAATTGGGATCCTGTAAAGCTGAGAGTTGTAAACGTGCAAATATCGGTGCTGTGGGTGTACGACTGATAAATGACTAGGTAATACTGAATGATTTTTAGCCTCAGAGCTCAAAGCATTTTCATGGTATAAAAATATGTGTTTGATAGCCAGGAAAACTGAGGCTTGGAACCATTTGTGAATACAAGGAACTGGCATATGAGAAAGGCAAGAGCCTAAATTTTCTGAATGTTGGAGGTAACCAGTCCTGCCCTAGAGCCATGAGTTTTACCATTTGGAGTAAATCCTTCAAGCCATGGTTGTCATTTGTTTTTTGCTGTGTATCTATCTTCCATATAATATGTTGCATGAGTGCGCCTGAATGCATAGTCAATGCAGTAGGTATTTAGACATTTTCTGTTATTTAGGCATTTTCTGTAATTGCCTTCTATATTTGACTTTGTATAATGTGCTATTTTAATAGATTTTGATGAAATGGATGAAAATGAAGTTAAGGGAGAGAATCAACTCAAAACAGGTAGGACAAAATGGGAAACATAAGCAAGGCATGTAAAAAAGGCATGCCATTATTGTATTTTCTGTTTCATGAAGTAAGGCAGGTATATAAAAAAAAGATAACCTGTAAGAAAATTTATATAATAGATGACTTTTTTAGAGCACTTAACTTGTGATGATGCTTGTGAGACTCAACTTACACAGTCAAACTTGTCTTTCCTCCATAGGATGCCTACTTCCTTGAACTGCATGAGCATTCCTTTCAAGTTGCCAAGGGCCAAAGATGCAAGGACTGACTGTTAAAAAGACCAAAACACATGCTGAATATCTAAGCAAGCAAAGAACATGTTGAACGTTAGGAATTAAAAGATTGTACTAATAGGGCCAAAGTGCAGCTGAAAGGCCCCTGGTACATCACAACTGATGGAACCTCCCCAGCTGTGGTGCAGGTGTCTGACTTGAGGCTGCAAATCCCACTTATTTACGGCACCTGAAAGCTGGTGCTGTGGTGGTTGATGTTCAGGTACTTGTATTTCCTTTGAAGGACCAGACGTAGTGGTCCTTTCTGGCATGATGTGGGAAAAAGAAACAAGTTTTCCAAAACCCTGCTTTGCTCCCCCTGAAGTCTATGAACAGTCAGAGTGACTCCTAGAGCAGCCCTATCTTTGGCAAGCAGGAGGAAGAACTAAGTGAAACCAGTGAATACCTTCTGTAATGGTTCCAGGAGAAACCCAATGGCCAAGATCACAACCAAGACGATGACAGATGAGACAATACCAGCAATCTGCATGAGAGAACAATTCCACCATGAGTGCCTGCAGGCATTATGATCAGCTAGGAAAAAATACAGCTGTGTTTCATTAAACACCATCATGATTTGTTGTCTTCTATACCTGTGTTTTGCCTCCTGTGCTCTCCTGCACACCCGATCTCGACAGAGCAGTGCTGGAGGCAAATCCTTTGAATGATCCACCAACTATATTACCCAGACCAAAAGCAATTAGTTCCTGAAATCAAAACAAAAAAGATTGTTCTTAAAAGCTGGTTCATGACAGTTATTCACAAGGTAAAGCATTCCTAAAATGATTTATTTCCCATTGACAAATGCACCATACTGATCTCTGTTATTTGCCTACCTGGTTGGCATCTATTGGGTAGTCATGCTTGATGGAATACACTTTAGCCACAGAGAAGGCCACTGCAAATGCAACGATTCCGATGGAAAAGCCATCACCAATACAGTTCTGGAGGATACCTACATCAGGTGCAACAGGTGCTTGAAACCTGAAAGACAAAAAACTCTACTCATTAAGGATATGCCTACAGAGATAAGCTGTCAGCCAAGAGAGTAAGGAGTGGTCAAGCTCATACTGAGCACTTCGGAGAGATGCGACACAGAGCTGTGGGTCTGAACCCTATAAAACTTTAGGGAATCCTTAATCAGGAGAGGGACTCTGTTTATCTGCACTCAACTCAGTTTGTGTTTCAGCATGTTCTCATTTACTTAGCCAGTTCCAGTCACAGCTTATTTCATCTGAGGTGCACACACAGTTCTTCCTTCTGGTTACACATGGATGTAGGATCTGATACTGCACTGAGGCATGGGCAATTTGCACATGGAAAGATTTCGCTTAATTACAATGGAAAAAAACCAAACCAGTGTGATTCATTGAGGCTCTTTTACAATATCAGGTAATATTGGCTAGTCTCTCAGGCTATCTATCTCCTAGAAACTTTAGCTTTACCATTTTCTGCTGGTTTGTTTGGGGTCTTCTCCTAGGGAGAATGCTAGGTCTTCTCCTAGGGAGACTTTCCCTCTGGGTTTCTTTTTTTTCCCCTTTTTTTTTCAATGAAATGAAATCTGAAGAAAAGAGACTCTTGAGCAGAAAAAGCTGTTCCTCTGCAAACTTCATCTACTAACACCCCTGAGGCTACAGAGAGCAATGCTGTCCTAGTAAAGGTCTTCCTCCCTCTTTTTAACTTAATGTGTGCCTATTAATTCTTTATGCCAAAATTCTGGCATAGTCAGATGTACTTTATATATGGACATATACCATAACTGGTCTACTCTGGCCTCCAATCGGGAGGCCTGGAGACACACCACCTATAACGCAGCTGTCTCCTTTGAGAACACACGCAGGATCACTCTCGAGGAGAAAAGACAATGCAGAAAGAACCGTGTCTTGCAGAATGTACCACCTAAGGAGTCTTTCTGCTGTGCCTTTTGCAATCGGACATGTCTATCTCGTATTGGCCTCATTAGCCACCAGCGTGCTTGTAACAAGTGCGGATAGAGCCTTCCTAAATCTTCGTTCGCGAAGCCCAGCCATGAATACCCTCTAAGTGGATATACTCCTGGAGGAGCAGACATTGAGGCCTCTGGAGGATAATGGTGCCTGAGGAAATGCTGGTGGCCAGTCACAACACCAGGCAGGAGAACTGTGCAGTGCCCTGGTGGCTTCCCAGGGCTGGTGGTGGCTGCTGAACTGTGCAAGTATTTCGAGGGAAACCAAGGGGTTCAGGAGTAGCCCAATAAAAGGGACAAATATGAACCTCCTGCTCAACAGCTGTCTTAGAAAGTGAAGGACACAATTAATTCATGTCTCAATATATTCCTTGATAAGTGGGAGATGTGCTCTAGTGAGTAACTTTTACATATTGAAAGTGTGTCATATTGTTGAGAGAAAAATATTTATTTACCTACTGAAAGAAGATGAAGCAGATAATTTTAATCAGAAACATAGCTGAACTGATTTAACACTGCCAAACTAGAGAGAACATTTTGTTCCACTGGTGAATTGTAAGTAAATCACTTACCCTTCCGGTAGTTTTCCAATAACAGCTACATTAAATTTTTCTTCCAAGTTAACAAAATAGGAAATCAGTCCTGCTACGATTGTCTGAAAGATAATAAACCACACCTCCATTAGACACATTCACGCAAGAGTGTGAAGAAACTATTAAACACCATTACCTTCCCTCTCCCATGCACCCTCCAGCCTTATCAACAGTGGCAGAACTATTCCCCAGGTCTGCACATCCCTTTGCTATTCAGATGTCATTCCTGAATGACCTTACAGGTATGAGTTTACATTCATAAATCACACAGATTATTACAGAATATCTTACTAACAACAGAGATCTTCCCACCCAAAAAACCATGTATGTTCTAACAAGGTGCTGTAATGACCCTGGGAGAAAAAAAGTGCTACTTAAGTCTATACAACATCCTCCAGGATTGTAGAAGCTTCCCCCCACCCCTGCTGCTTGGAGTGGGCAAAACTTTCTGCTGCTGGAGGGTAAAATAATTTTGTGCTTGGCCATGGATGGCTGGGACTTCAGTGGCTGCTTGCAAGTGGGGTGCAGAGAGGCCCCAGCTGTGAGACTGCAGCTGGCTGGTGTCAGAGCCAATCTTGTCCAACTAGAAAATTCATAGTTTATAACACCACAGATATGTTCAATTAAGAACAGTTAAGTAGAGGTAAAATATCTCACAATAGCGCACAGATGCTGTCAATTTTTCCTTATAGGTAAAATGATAATGCATCATTTAATGGAGAACAGGAGAAGAAATAGTTAAAACTCTGCTTTCCGTGTCGTAACACGGAGCAATTGCAAAATCAAGGGGAAGTGACTTACCACAAGGAGTTCGATCGGGATGGGTGTTGGTAACTTTTCTTTGTATCGATCGTTCATTTCTTTCACCACGAACACGATAAGCAAGACAAGCAGGGATGTGACAAGGTCAGCGACGTTTGTTTTTGTAATCTGGCTGAAAAAGCTCTCCAGAGTCTGCAGAATCAGGAAGAAACAAGAAGTGCTTTAGAAACTGTAGTGCCCTGGCACAGTAGCACTATCCCTTCCAGAAGAGCCTTTATCTGAATTGCTCTAAGGATTATGATGGCTGAGATTTATTCCCTGTGGCATGATGTGGACCGCAAGCCCCCATGAATGTATGTGCATCAGCCAAATGATGAAAGCATCCACAAAAGAACCTTTCCACTGATTTGTGACCCTCCCCTCCTGGCTTTCCCCTGAGGGAGGGTTGGAGCAACACACGTGTGCGTGTGATGGGAAATGTGAACAATGGCACTGAAGAGCAAGTGCCTCTCTCCTTTCCTTGCTTCCTGTCCTTCTCCTTCCTCCTTTCTCATCCAGAGTCATATGCAAATAAAATATGTATAATATCAGTCCAGTAAAAATGAATAATTAAGTGCCTAAGGCAGAGTTGAATGCTTAATTGAAATATGCCACTACACAACAGTAAATAGTATCTAATTAGCCCAATAGGGTGTAACTTGGTGCTTGGTAATAAATTTAAAGATTGGTCAAATACTAATCACTAATTAGTAAACACTAATACATCTCTCTTCTCTTGTGTTTCCTCCTGCTTGGCTGTTTTATGCTGAGTTCTGTTATTACCGCCATGTGATACACAGACACAGGTACATCAATAACATTAGCAAATAATGAGCACTTAGCACTTACATAGATGATGCCTAATGGTTTAATAAATCCAGGAACAGGTAGCTGAAACATGAATTTCAGCTGAGATACCAAAACATGGACAGCTGCAGCAGTCGTGAAACCACTGATTAATGACTGTGATAAATAAATAACAAGGAATCCAAAATGGAAAATTCCCAGAAGCAACTGAAATGCAAAATAAGCATACGTCAGTGGGATTCATTCATGTTTTTAAGCAATCTCTACAACAAAGAGAACTCTATTTAATGGAAGCAGATATTTTCACCTAATCCCATCCATCCAGAGACTGAGGAATATACTGTCACCAGACTTGCAATAAAAGTTGAGATTTAGCAACAGGGGGCATAACACTAGTAAGAGTAATTGCTAGAGCAGTTAAAATCCATTCTTTTTATTTTATAGCTAAAATAAACCTCCTTAGTTTTAGGGTTTTCAGTACCTGTATTTTCACAGGGTACCACTGTTTCACAAAGTACAAATATATTGTTAGGAAGGGAGGAAATGTAGGAATTCTTTATTAGGACATAAGGATAAATTTGTTTGTTTTTTTTAAAAGACAAATCCAAATATTTTACTATTGTGAGGCAGAGCTTGGTGCAACTGCATCATTAACTTATTTTCACAGCTACTTTTTTCCTATGCAGCAGGTCGTTTTTTGCTGTAGGTGTAGGTTGCAGCTGTGTGAACTGTAGGCTCAGGTCTGTGCAAAACCAAGGAATAGATGTCTCCTAATCAGTGAGCCAAGGGGAGTTACACAAGAAGGGGAAGAAGATTATTTTGGTGACTGCAACAGCAGAAACCAAAGAGGAAGGTCAGCCTACCACCCAACTATTCATATAGGTGCATATAAATATGTGTAGACGCACACACACAATTGACCAACCTGAAAAATCCCAGAAAGAAAGGTTACAGATGCAGCCACCATCACCCTCTCTTCATTTATTGCTGAGATATTTGTGGAATTGCCACTTCCAGTGCTGTCATCAGGGACCAGCCTGGTGACGACTCCTCCAACCATCAGGCTCAGGACAGGGAAAGGACCTGAGCAGCACAAGGCACTCGTCAAGAGATCCAAAGGGGTAGCATGTACTTCTTCATCAGTGAGGAGGGTGAGTTGCTTGCCTGAACTTACCCACTGAGATGTGTCTGGATGTGCCAAAGATAAAATAGACCAGGACAGGGAAAAATGCTGCATAGAGTCCATAACCGGGTGGGACATTCACCAGCAAAGCAAAGGCGAGACCTGTGAAGAGAGAGGGCCGGGGAAGGTGACGTGTGTGTTGCAGGCTGCAGTCAGCAGTGCCTTGGCACCTGGCCTAGCAGGCTGTGTCAGGGCACACATTTCCTGAAGATACCTTGTAGCACAGCCACGAGCCCTGTGTTGATGCCGGAGACGATGTCACTCAGGATCCACTCCCTCAAGCGGTATGCTGGCAGCCATGAGACAACGGGAAAGAAGCGCAGAGCAATTTTTTTGGCCCTTTGTGGGGAGCAGCTGTATAGGGACAAGAGGACAGAATTCTGTCAGTGAACAGCTCAGCTGAGTTGTAGACTGTTTTCAGAGCAGAATCGAAGAGAAAATGATTCAGGTTCTGGCTGCCAGAGGTCAAAATCTCACGCAGATACAGCCGTGACCAACCTGCACTGCCAGCTGTGCTTCAAGGCAGACCCAGTAGCCTTCAAAAGTCCTTTCCAACCAAAATTCTTGTAGAATTGTAGAATGGTTTTGGTTGGAAGGGACCTCTGAAGATCATCTAGTCTAACCCTCTCAAAGTAAGCAGTGATGCCACCCATTAGGTCAGATTGCTCAGAGCCCCATTTAAACTAATCTCGAACATTTCCAGGGATGGGGCATCCACCACCTCTCTGGGCAACCCATACCAGAGCCTCACCACCCTCATCATAAACAATTTCTCCCTTATATCCAGTCCAAATCTACCCTCTTTTAGTTTAAACCCATCATCCCTTGTCCTGTCACAACAGGCCTTGGTAAAATGTCAGTGTACATCTTCCTTATAAGCCTCCTTTAAGTACTGAAAGGCTGCAATAAGATCTCTCTAGAGTTTGTGCTGCCAAATGCCCAGAAAAAGAGAAGCTGAGATACAACTGTAGGAAGACTTTTAAAGGTAATAGTGGCTAAAATTAATTAGAAAGATCTGACATTGAATATAGTTAAAGAATTTTCATTTGCTATGTTGGAATCTGAGACGGATGTTGTCAGGATGGAGTTCATGCTGTTCAAGAGCAGTTCAGGCTGTTTCTTAGATCCATGTTTTAAAAAAAATAAAAATCTCCTTACCGGAAATAGAGTTTCAGGTTGTCCCAAAAGGTTTTATGGTATCTGTGCAATTTCTCATGCTCTTCATTGAATGAATTCTCCGAGTACACAGGTCTGGCTACAACGTAGTGATTGCCCACAGGTTCAACCATTTCTTCTGAAACGTCGGGCAAGGATGGCGACTTGTGTATGCTTCTCTCTGGCTTAGGCACTTAAAAACCTGAAATGAAGAACAGGGTTAGCTCCTTATGTACTGTGGGGAGGGTAGTCATAGCATAGCTGAGTGAACTCCAAACTGAGCGTTACCACCTTTGAAGATCAAAAGAGGGATGGTTGAGACACCTGCTTCACTTTGCCAAGGTGATCTCCTGCCCTGCTCCTCCTCCTGCTTCAGAGCAGTGTTTCACTGGAGCATGAATTATTTCTTTCTAAAGACGCGGCCAAAAAGTGGAGATGGTTTTTGAGGTAATTTATCTCTGAGTCAGCCATCTACAACCAAGAACTTCCTCCCTCAATGGAGATTAATTTCCTAAAGAATAAACAAGCAGATCCCAAGCAGTTTCTCTTTGTGGCATCGCTGGGAGAGCTGGGAGCTCACTGAAAGCCACTGACACATGAGGGGAAAGGCAGAGCCAAGGCAGGGCTCAGACATCCTCTCGGATTCAGAGACAGGGCAGAATCTTTTGGCTTAGGTCTGTGTGACAGGGAGATCAGGCTCAGTAGTAAAAAAAGCACAGTATTGCTGCTTGTTAAGTTATTTGTAAGATTTATTTCCATGGGTTATATGGACTGATTCTCCTCTGCTTCATGTTCACAAACAGTTGTTCCAATATCTTACCTAAATACTATTTTCTGCCTTATCCCAACTCACATTTGCCTGTATATACTGAATAGAAACTGTTCTCAGTCAGTCCAGAAATGACCCTTGGAGCCCTCATTACACATGAGAAGATTAAAGGTTCATTTCCGTTGATACCACTGAGTACTTTGCAGCAATTAAGTGATGCCATCACTGTGCTACCCACTATGCCTCATATTCTTCCCACATCAAATTCAGCTAAACAAGTGTACTGTCTAAAAACATTTATCTCAGTTGAAGCCACCATTAAATATTTAATACAGTACTAGCCCTAGACAGAAGCTGTGGAATTTGCTCTTTGTAGTCACAGTTGGACGACATGATCACTGAAGAACCCTCCCAATTGGAACTAATCTGTTCTATCCTATTCTATTTTCTTTTGACTCAGAGATGAAGATGTATCATAGAAAGCAAAAACTCTTTTGTGACATTGATAATAAAGAATTTTTCTTTGTTTTCTCTCCCCCAGTGCAAATGCTACTTGGTACCTTGGTGCTTGTTGGCGGTCTCATGACAGATGCCCAACTAACACTAGTTCCTTGCCCAGGTCTATCACCTGACTCTCATTGAAATACTCTGCGTGTATTTCTAATTCAGACTGGTGTGTATTCAATATTTGGAGATATCACAGGACAGATTTGAATGTAGCACAAAGCTGTTTGCATAGTTATGAACAGAGGAAAAGCTTTTAATCTGTGACAATTTTGGCATTAAAATGTGAATCCCATCCTGAAACTTTGCTACAGTTCAGAGCCTATTATTGACTTATTTCAAGTGATTTCATTTTAGTTTCCCTATAGTTCATTCTGGGGAAATTCATAAATAAGTGTAGAAGTCCAAATAATGTCAGATGTACCTCTTAGATATGCTGCTTTAGTTGACATACTGTTTTTTTCACAAAGGATTCATCATATTGGCAGTGGATTAAGCATTTTTACTATCTGTTTTAATCTAGAAAATGAGATCTGTAGTATTTTCCAAAAACTGGCAGGTAATTATTCTAACAGACCAATGCTCAAAATCTAAGCTGATTCAAGACACTGATCCAAAGTCAGTTAAAATCACACTCTGATCCTGTAACTGTACACTGCTCTCTCTGCCTCTGTTGGGATCAGAGCACCAAACCTGAGGCTGATAAAATTTCAATGAAAAAATTGGTTGATTTAGTCCATTCTGTGACAAATCTTGGTTACTAGATTTGCAGGAAGAAGTTTTATCTATTAAAGATTTTAAAATTGCTCTGTTTCCTAGTCCCTATATCTGCCTTTTAGACTTCCTGTCATTAAGAGGAATATTGCTGAAAGTCCCGTTGACTAGTTTTGTTCATTACATTGTGGGGCACGAGATGTACTATTTGTACCCTTTGAAATGTTCACAAGCTATAAATATTAAAGAAGTGTGTGGGTGACTCATTTCAGACTTTCCTCAGTGCTGCAGCTGCTGTAGTTTTTGTGAATACTTCAGTTGTCCCTACTGCCCCTCACTCAGCCATTCTTCTTTCCTCAGGCCAAATTTACTGCCTCAATCTCAGGGAATGTACAACACGCTTCTTTACAGCTCTGTGAATCTCCTTTGGTTTATCAGTGCTGGTCTTACTGAAGGTGTAAGTGTTTCACATGTGTTTTTTACCTCCTCATTGAAATCTCAATTTACAGACTCTCTGCCAGCTGAGCTTTGGGTCGATGGCTTAGAGCTGCAGGAGGAGACCAGGAGCCTCACCCCAAGGGTCTCGTCAAGCTGAACCAAGCAAGAAAGACTCTGCATTAAGGACTGCAGTGCTACACAGTTAACATACATACATCGTCTACTAAGTTGAACCAAGCCAGCCTGAGTACCTGAAGTGCAGTGGAAGGTGCCTTCAGCCTGTTTCCTGGCAGGTAAATGAGACCCATGCAGAGCAGTACCTTGCTGCAGCTAGATGACCACTAATTGCTAGTCACCCCCACTGGTTGAGCTTTTTTTGCCTCATTCCCTCTTTCATGGCTCTATTGGCAGTTATCAGCTACCATGACTCCAGCCCTCCTCTCGCTCAGTCTCATTTTCTTCCCATATATATCTAGAAAGACAGGATGCCCTCAGCATAGGAAGGGTTTTTTTTCAGCTGTCGGTAAAGTTACTTATTTTAGGTGTTTTAAAGAAAATGAGGATATCATGAAAAGTACCAGCACGGTGAAGGCAAACATCCTCCACAAATCCCCTGAAAGAGATGTCTGTACTCCAGTAACTCAAACTGCCTGTCCAGAGTGCCCCCATCATTAAGTTCTTGGGCTCCTCATGGGACATGACTAATTCTTCTGATGACTTCTACAACATGCCCACCCATACACAGGAAACAAGAGCACAGACCAAGCTCATGCTGCACAGCTATCGAGTGGTAACAACTTTCCCTCACTATTGACCAAGACGAGGTGTGACCTGAAACCTCAGAAATAACCTTTTGGTTCAGTTTTATTCCGTATAGCCTCTGATCCTGTTCTAATAGCCAGCAATTAACAGCATTGCCATCACTCACACGTGGAAAACTCCTACTCCAGCACTGTGAACCTTGGGTAACACATATTTTGATGTGAGTCATTTTATTGAGGGGATTAACAAAGGGATAGTTTTTCCCATTTATTAATTTATTCTAAATACTAAGAAGTACACAAAAATCTGGTAACTTCTATGGAATTAGATTTAAATTAAATATTAACATGCTCCATCCCACTTTTCAATCTGTGTATACCCACTAACAAATACTACTTCTCTGCAATATAAACATTTGAAAAAATACAAAGAAATTCCACAAGGGAAACTTACATTTTACAAGAAATACAACACATGACTAGAAGCATTTAATTTGTAAGCATTACTTCACATATCCCATACCTACAATGGCAAGTTAAAATTGTACCTGGTATGTCTTCCAGGAAGCTCTTCAGAAGAAACCACACCAAGATTTTATGGATAAAGATATCCTTGAAATTTTCAGAGGTACTACAGGTATCTTGTGCTGTTCTTCACTTCAGAACCTCCCTAAATACTGGCAGCACTTTAATAACTAACTTCAGTTAACTTTTACAAGAAAAGGAAGATTTCACTGTGGCCTTGACCATTGAGCTTATCCTCAGGAGGAATGATAAGAGTAATTTCTTAAAGTTCTCTGTGATATTGCTTAACTTTGTTTGGTGAACTGTTTCTGATTGGTCTGCAGAGACTCATTATGGGAAAATAGAGATGAATAAGACGGACTGTCTGTTGCAATCCTGTGCTGTGCATCTGACAAGTTTCTGTTGAGCTGAAGTGGCCAGAGCTCAGATATAGTACCCTTCATTTCTGAAGGAACATGAGTTATTGATGAGGCAGGTGGGCTGCTGGGCCTGTCAGCTCTAAGAAAAGTGTGCCTTCCTGAACCTTCCTCTGAAGCACCTTTAATAGCCCCTAAATTGTCTTTCCAGAAGCAATTCCTGAATTCTCAGATCATTGCCAAAAGTAGTCTTTGCAGAGATTTTGGAAGGCCAGTTGTGATGTGGTGGAGCTGACAGCTGTGGCATCCTGTGACAGACGGTGGAAGGCACAGACCACATGTGTGGCCAAGTGCTGGGGCATGAATATGGTGTGGGTGGGTTGGACTGTCCCCCAGTTTCTTGCTCCCCTCCACTGTCCATAGAGGAACCAGGGGGATCACGCTCCCTAGGACAAAGCAAGTCTTTGTAAACATTTGCCTGAGATACCTAAAACCGCCTAAGGAGATACCTGAAATAGCATTTTGAGGCCTCAGCCTGTAACTTCAGTTGCAGGTGCCTGTGTTCAGGAGAGCAGTGAACCTTCAGTGCTGAGGTGCTGAGGACACCATAGCATCAGAGTTCCCTGATGAAAAGTGTCCTTAAAACCCTTTAGTCAGGTCATACTGCCATGCTGCACCTAGAAGTGCTTCAGTTGTTGATATCCATGTTATCAGGAAGACTATGATCTGCCAGGGTCCTTAGGTCACTCCTCTGCCTTGGGAGTCAGAGCTTGACTTAGCCTTTGGTGATTTGAAGTCACAGACCCTGACCCTGAAGGACGTTTTCATCTGGTGAAAGGGCACAGCATGAGGGTGGGCACCTTTTGTACTCTGGAGGGTCACTCGCACACATGAGTTTGGAGGAGAAGAGGCAGGAGGAGCCTGGGATTCTGCTCTCAGATGGTTTGCCCATATTTCAGTCAATTATTAGACCAAGAAATAATGAAGTGAGGAGGACCCACAAGGTGAGAGTTCAGACCATTCAATCAGGATTTCTTTCTTGTGCTTTAGCCCATGGCTCCAAGTTC